TCTTAGAGATATAGGAAGCTTATAAGAGCTATATCTTCTTAAGATCCTTATCCCTGATAATCTCGATGCCAAGGAACCAGCGTAGCTCTCCTATATACGTGATGGTGTATTTCTTTGTGATAGCCTTGTATAGCTCTTCCTAATCTTGTTTTTGCCTTTTCGGATATATTATAACGATGTTATCTACGAAGATAAAGATAATAACGCCCTTATAGACTAGTACGCAGGCGTCTTCTACTAGCTGCTAGGCTCCTAGTTTAGTAAAGAAACTAGATATCTCTTTAAACTATAGCTTTAGAGAGATACGGAGCCCGTATAGTGCTTTTAATAGCTTTAGGCATAGCCTAGGCATTGAGAATCCCGGTAGAGGCTGGTAATAGACTTCTTAGCGTAGGATTGCGTATAGAAATGCTATTTTTACGTCGTATTGTTCTATCTCGAAGTCCTCGAGGCAGTAGAAGGCTATTAGTAGTCGAAATGTTCGTGCTCGTAGGGTGGCTATATATGTATCCTCGTTACCTTCGGGTTATAGGTCTCTACGAACTATAATGCGTGCTTTAAAGCGTGTAATATACCCCTGTTTATCGGTCTTATATGCAAAGACCTAACGTAAGGGGATTAGGAAGTGACCTTTCTGTTTAATAATAGCTTTTAGGATGGTCTTCTATGTGCCCCTTGCTAGGTTTTCCTCTATTTCGCGGTCTGCAGCTTCCTTCTACTCGTATGCGAATTCTAAAGCCATTGCCGCGTTGAAGGAGGTAGGGGGAGGCGGCATATCTTTAACGTAAAGCTTATGCTTACTTGCCTTTGCGATAATATTATTAATAAGGGATTTCTTAGGCCTACGAGCCCGTTTTCCTTTAATAACGTTGCTTAGGTTAATCCCTTATAACGTATCCTTTCGTCTACGTTGTTCTTATGTTTATAATGTCCTTAAGCCGGCCCTACTAACCGCTAGGTTAAGGGTGCGGGGTTCGGACTAGGGGTCATCTTCTTAAACCCATACTATAATCGTTCCTTTACCCCCTAGGTTAAGAGGTATATTATTGCGTTCGTCTTAAGGAGACGAGTCGATTGATATAGGTATCGCATCTTTAAGCTATCTCCCTAACGAGATATGGGAGGGGTTGCTGGCTATAGTGTCTATTGCGGGTGTAGGAGGCATAGAGCTTGGTAACTCCGTGTTAAATATAGTATTAGGTAGAAGGGGTAACGTTGAAATCTCTGTCCCTAGGCCTACTATTTCCGGAGGGGAAAGATATATATATCTATGTGATCCCTATAAGGGCGTCTTTAATCCCTGATCTTCCGGAGTATGTAGGGGCAATAGGTCCCGTGGGAGGGTAATTGCTTCTTCCGGCGTCTAACCGTTATCCGTATTATCGTCGGATAAACTTGGTACCCTAAAGGTTTTGGGTTCCCCGCTGTCTATAACGTCGGTTGCGGCTATATCTCTAAGGATATCGTAGCTATATGTTTAGACTAGCTAGGCTTGCTCTTCTCTTTTTGTATCGTAGCTTATAGACTCGTTAAACTATATATTAGCTAATACTATTAGTTTGTTTTGTCTGATTAACGGTATCTATACGACGTATTGTTAAGTGGACCTATAGCCTACTAGGTAGCCGATATAAGCTCTCTGCTTAAGGGGTGATTGCGTCTTATATAACTTAATGTGTTCTAATGCCGTAATTATTATTAGGAACGCTATATAGCTAAAGACCCTTAAATATATGATATCTAGTTTAATATCTTTGATGTAGTGATATAGTGGATTATTTTCTTTTATCTAGGTCTACCAACGCTCGTATAGGCTCTGCTAGCTATGATTATATAATTCGAAGGGTGTTATGTTGAGCAGGTATACCGCTATACGGTATATCTCTAGCTATAGCTCTTCTAGAAGCTTTGAGTTAAGCCTTATAACCCTTGCTTTTTCCTTTACTATTGCCCCTAATCTCTCTGCGTGACCGTTTTGCGTAGGCGTTGAAGGGGCTGACTATATAACTCGTATCCCTCTATTAGTCATATGATCTATTTGTTCTGTTGTTAAAAGAGCCCTTTCCCCGTTAGTAACTAATGTAGTTATTTTAACTCTATACTAGGTCTTAAGTAACGCCACGAAGTTATTAAAGATATCCTTAATACCCGTTTTTCTTTCTATTAGGTAATAGAACCTTATAGATATGTCTATGTAGGTAAATAGGGCGAAGTTCTTTTCCCCGTTATATGCTGTTATAGGGCTAGGGTGAAGGTCGAAGCTAACTTATACCCCCGGACCTTTAGGCCTTAGGGATGGTGTTTTTCTCGAGACTTCCCTCTTAGCTTTCCCTGTTGCGTATATCTAATAGCTGTATGTTGTGGGGCCTTAAAGCTTGGTGCCTAGGCAGGCTTCTAATAGCTTCTCTAGTAATTTTGGACCAGGATGCCTAAGGCGGCGATGCTATAGGTCACCCACCCCCCTAGTTAGCGGCTTAGGCGCTTATATAACTGCGAATACCCGCTTATGCTACGGGAGTGTTCCTATTACGAATTGACCTTCGAAGTCGGTTAGTTTGATACGAACCTCCTTCGTAGGTTCCGAATAGAGGTATCCTAGGAGCTGGTTCTAGAATATCCCTGCCGTCATCCCTAGCCTAGCTAAGAAGACACTTGTCGGCATTTCTAGGATAAAGTAGGCATCTAGTAGGGTTATCTTTCTACCGTTAATTATAGGGATAACTGCTGTTCCTATTCCTTGTACCCTAAAGGCTTGGTCTCTAACCTAGACTTCGTCGTTAGAACCCTACTTAAAGGTTCCTTCCTAGAACTAACCTAGGTTATTAAAGAGGTTAATATCGGCCCCTAAGTCGTATATTAATTTATCGGCAAGTAACGACGTTCCCTTAATAGCCGTGTTTACCCTAGATAGAGTGACCGTGTTGATGGTCTTTCCTAGCCCGTTATTGCTAATAATAGTGTCTGCTAGTTCTCTTCCTTTAGGGTAGGAATTAGGGGTCCAGGCTATGCATTTTGCTTTCTCGTTTAGATAGTCCTTTAGCCGTTTTTCGATATTCTATTTAGCTAGATCACTATATTTCTAGCCTATCGGGGGCTTCTTATTATATATCACCCGTAGTAAGTAGCAATTTTCCTACTAGCTTATTAAGCTATTAACGTGCTGCTTATAGCTAGCGCATTTAGCTTAGGTGTCTGATTTCCTAGAGATTTAATTAGCGCTTCCCCTTTTTACGGGTAGTTGCGACTTCTTCCTATAGGTGTATTCTTATTTAAAGTTAGCGATTAGGTTCCTTAGGGGAAGTTGATCTTTGCCGTGTCTTTCGTTATAGAGGTCGAGAGCCCTTATTGTTATAGACTAATGTAGGTCCCACTCGTCTGCCGCTATGAGAAAGTCCTGTCTAATTCTTATATCGTTGAGTGTATCGACCTTAAGGTCTCGTAAATCTATGATAATTTAGTCGAGCTATTCTGCCTATGCTTTCTAGTCTCGCGTGCCTCTTTTATTGATAGAGGTCGTGTATCTCTCGTAAATCAGCTTTTTCTCCTCTGCCCCTAAAGGCAGGGCTTGCTTCTTTAATTCCCTGATTTTCTCTCTTAGGCTATTATGCATTAGGGTTGTCCCCTAAAGCCCTTTATTGATTGTTTTCTTGATTAATTCTTCGAGTGCGATTAGGGCTTTCTGCTAGACCTTATAGCGATCGAATTATAGCTAGAACCTTTTCTCGAGGTTGCGAAAGGAGTCCTTTGCATCCTAGTATCGTTCGTTATAGCCTGTTCGCCTCGCTAGGAACGCAGCCTCGGTTTCGTCTTCTCGTTGGGATAGTCTCCCTCTAAGGTTAACAATAAATTGCTCCTAGTCCGGCTATTGGGGCTGTTTAAGCTCCTTTATGCCGTCTAGGTCAGCATATTCCTAAATCTCGTAAGTCTAGGCCTACGATTTGATCCCCTTAATCTATAGGGTCTAATCGAGGCTTTCCTTTAGTCTCACGATATAATTATCCCCTCTTACTTCCTTTGACGTCATCTTAGGAAAATAAGGGGTTCTAGCTTAATAAGTAATATCCTTCTTTAAGGGATGCGTAATTCGTGTGTTTCTGGTGGTGCCCCTTAGTGTGGCTAGGTTCCTTGCCTTAACACTACAATTTGAGCGTTATAACGGCGTTGATAGCTCGTAAATAGCTTTAAAGGTAATATCGGCGGGCAAAAGATGGTCTAGCCGTGTAGGCCGGGCTCATAACTCTCAAGCAGTGGCTTGAGAGCACAGTGGAAGAAATAGGGGCATAGAAAGGTGAATTTAGTGATGTATGTCTTGGTCTATCTATTGGGATAAGGGAGGGGCTTATATAGGTACAGTGACCACATATAGCTAGCTAAAAGAGGGCAATAGGATGTTCCTATACCTGAGTTAGGCCTGCATAGTGTCTTTGGGCTAGGGGAGTTATGTTGTTTAGGCAGGCTTCCTTGTGCATGACTATTGGGTCTACTGAGCATGATTGTGGCCTCTTATGCCCATTCTCTCTCCTCAACAACTAGCTTCGTGGCCTCCTCCCCCTTTTCCCTTCCTTGAAGATAGACAAGAAGAAGACGAATACACATACCTTTGCAGCTGCAACGAAGGCCTGTGTAGAGACCTGCCAACAGGAAGACTAATATAAGTCCGAAAACGATGACCCTCGCCTTGGCAGAGGAATCGGGCTCGATGGAGTAAGAAAAACAGGCGTGTATTAGGGGATCGACAACTTGAATAAGCTGCAAGCCATCAGCATAAGACCATGAGGAGTGCCTGAATCGGGAAATACCTCGACAATATAGACGCATAACACGGTCGCCCCTTTCTAAGCCGTGAAGAAGGGATAAGTAAGGGTGTCCGATAGAACTGCATTCCTCACAGCACCAAACAAAGCGGCAAATACTAGTCTAGAGCCTAAGAAGATATAGGTAGTGGAGATCAATGCCTAAGTTTGCCTCCGCAAGGCTTCTCGTGGCTTGACTCTGATCATCTAGTATATGTAAGGGGCTAGAAAGAACGTGGTCACGACAAACATAACACCTGCCTCGGTGACCTCCTTGATTGTGATCTCGTCCTTTATGTTGACATGCGGTAACCTACAATGATAGAAAGAGCTGGATGCGGACCTATGGTAATGAAAAGGCATGAGGAGACCGGACTTGCCCTAAACGAGACGTGCTTTATATAGACGTTTAATTTATTCCTAGAGGCATACTTGAGAATTTTGGTTCATGGCAAGCAACGTGTTTATGAAATAAGAACAGAATATTGTCCCGTCGGTTGATAAACGACTAGATTTACCTAGTGTGAGGAAGTTATGGGGTGCTTCGTGCATGGTAAGGTTACACTATTAGTGCCTCGAGATCGGGCTACAATTAATATGATGATTTGCATGTACGAGGCGGCTTCGCCTATATTAACACAGCGTAGTTAGAGTAGGGGGTGCTAGTTAGCACGTCTTTAACTGCTTAATGCAGTCGTGTATCTGCCAGCCGGCTAATTGTGTCTATATAAGTAGCCCGAGTTTTATTCCTCCGAGCTAGGATGGGATTTTGGTAGTTATATTCGGCTCTATAAGTCTATATAAGTTATATACTGTACGGCAGTGGCGGCGATAACGGCTGCAAGTCGCTAACCTTATCTCCCTGGAATTGTTAGCGGCATCGCTAAGTGGGCTATTTACAAATAAAATCATCTTTATTAGTCCTTTTTGAGCACGGATAAAAGTAAGTGATTGGTAAAAGAGTCGAAGGTAGGCGTAGGCGGAGCTGGGTTAGCGCGTTGCGGCCAGGATAGTGTCGAAGTTATTTTTAGGTACTAGTAGAGCTGGAGGTAGACTTTAAAAGTGGGCGCCCGTGGCTACCCATGGGCCGCCCAATTTTTTCAGTCTAGTCCATGGGTAGACATGGGTTTTAAGACAAAAGACCATATTTACCCACGGGTTATTAATATATGCTTTAGGTAAAGCTAGGTACCTAGACTAGCCTAATAATTATCTCCTTATCTCTAACTTAGAGCTAGGATATTTTTAGCCTCTTTTGCTCCTAACTTTCTACCCTTATACTTCCCGCCGGCTAGGATAAGCTTAAGCCTATCTATGGTTATTATAGGCTCTTCTATGCCTAACGATTATAGTAATTCTTCGAACATTTTATCCTTATTAGCCTTATTATTTAAGGGGACTTTATAGGTCTTTTTAATCGTTTAGGGCTATTTATAGTCGGAATTATCTTTATTTTCGCTCCCCTTACTATTAATCTCTATAATAGTAGTTTTCTTCTTTCGCTATACCTTTAATTATCGTTACTCCTTTAACTACTTCCGCTTCTTATTAAAATTATCTCTTTAGGCCTAAACTTTATAAGCACGCGCTTCTTTAATCTTTGCTAGTCGCGTGCTTCGTAGAAGCCTTTATTTTTCGACTCTTAATAGATCGGAAAAGTCACGCTAGGAGGTAGAACTATACGCTAAAGGAAAAAGGTTAGTATAAACGATTAATATAATAACTTCTAATAAGGTATATATACTAGCTTCGTTTTAGACTAGGAAAGACTAGTCTTATTTCCCGAGGATGCTAATAATATCCTTAAGAGTAGTAATATCTTTCTACTAAATTATAACTCTTTTAGCCGCGATAGCTAGCCGTCCTATTACTATTTATAGTCGCTAGTTAGTATAATAATTAGGGCAATAATTATATTAACTTACCTTAGAATATAGTAGCTAGTATGCTCTCTACCGACTCCTAGATAGCTGCTAATACTACCTTCTAGATACGAAGGCTAGGAGTAATGTCTTATATAACCTCTTAAATAAGGCGGGCGAACGAGGCGCGAGGGATAAGTAAATCGGGAATTTACTAGAATTTTCGAATTTCGCGTAAAGCAATAGCTAATATTAAAATTAGTAGATAATCTAAGAAAGAAATATACTTAAGTCTTATTGCATTTAAGTAAGAAAAGATAAATAAAGACTTACTGCCTAGCTTAAATCTTCGTTTACGCTTAATAATGCCTGCTAGCTTAACTAATTTCCCCTTACCTTTGCCGCTAGTTTTTCCGCTAGTATTTATATTCTAGCCGGGGAGAGTCTTTCCGCTAGTTAGCCGGCTAAAAAACCGGCCGCGTACTATAAGACTAAAAGCGAGATTACTATAAATAATTAGTATATTAATATAAGGCTATTTATATATAGATAGTATATTAACCTTAAAGGCTTAGCGGTCGTAGGCGAGTATATATTTATTAAAGAGGGAGAAAAAAAAAGGTTACGATAACGTAAGCTAGTAGTAATAAGCTTCTTAGCTAATTAAAATATAGTTATTTAGTTACGAAGATCTACCGACCTAATTAATTTCTAGTAAAAAGTAGGTCTATATAAAGTAAAGATTTAGTCTTCGTTTAGTATTAGGAATTTTTATTTTACTTTTAATACCTATATTAATACTATATATTAAACGGTAAGTAATATCTCTCTTTATTTTATATAATATTCTAGCTAATAATTTTAGATATTTTCGTGTTTCTTAGCTCTCTTCTCTATAGATAATTAAGAGCGACGGCGACGTAGTAAGAGTTCCTAATTATTCCTATTTACTTTATACTAATCTTTATATTAACCTATAATAGGCCGTCCGCCTAGTACGCCTTTAAAAAAACAGAAGGTAGAAGATACCCTATTAATAAATATAAATATAAAGAAAGCGCGCGATCGCGTTACTAAGATAACCGACGATAAGAAAGTCTTCGAAAAGGCTAAGAATATAATACGTTAGGCTATTATACGATTAAGAAAGAAAGTCTAGTCCTCTATAACCTAGATAAATATAAGTAAAGAAGAAAAAGCTACTATAATTACTAAAGACTCTCGCGAAATTAAAAGTAAGTAGTAAGTACTAAGTAGTAACTATAGGAAATAAATTAATCTTTATACTAATTAAAAATAATCTAGTTTTCTACTTAGCCGATATCTAGACTAAGTTAAAGAAATACTTTGCCTACTAGTATCGTAGGGCGATATAATCTTTAACGAGGACGCTCTTATTAAAGAGGATACCGACTAGGAGGATATCGACGCTAAGATAGAGAATAAAGCCTAACGAATCGACGATATTATATTTTTTCTTAATAAAGGCGATAAGTCGCTTAAGTTTAGCGCTTAGTTTAGTAATAAGCAACCTTTTTAAGGAATTAAAGAAGCACTTAAGTAAGACTAGAAGGTATTTTAATCTTCTTAACCTTAACTACTCTTATATACTAATTATTATAGAACTAAGAAGTACTAGTATTTCGGTGCTTTTAGAGACACTTTAGTATAGCCGTCTAGTTAATGTTTTCTAAGCTATAGGTACTTAAAGTATACCTAACCTTAGTAGTTTAAGTAGTAAAAAGCGTTCTTTAGGAGTAGTAGGAAGAGTAAGTCTTACTTTATTAACTTCTTTATATATTTTTAGGTTAACTCCTTACTAGATTTCTAGAATCCCTTTACGGCCTAAATATTTTCTTATATTACGAACTATTTTATTAGTTTGCTTTTAGTCTTTAGACTAGGCCTTTATAACGAATCGCGTTAATAAGAAGACTATTTACGTAAGTACTAAGCTTTCTAATAATTTAAGCTAATTAATTAAACTAACTAGATAAATAGGAGACTCTCTCGCACGCGGCTTAGGACTAATATCCGTCGTTAGGCATTTTAGGTAATTTCTCGACGACGAATTTCGGCTAGGCCCTTAAAGATCTCGATAGTACGCGAGATTTACGGCTATATAGAGTAAGGTAAGGGGAAGAAAAGGAGCTAGGTAATCCTTCCTAGACCCGCGTAGCTATAGCGAGAGACTAATAACTTTCCTTAATCTATTTTTAAGAGAATCCTTTTAAACTTTAAGAGGTATACTAAGGAGTATAAGAATATACTCTATTAGTTTCTTTTAGGTCCTTTACGATAGGAAGCCCTAGCGTTATTCTAGATACTATTAATAGAAAGCTTTTCGGTTTAAGTTAGCTAGGTAGATATTTAAATCTACGGAAGGTATTTAAGACGTTTTTCCTAACCTATTACTACCCTAGAGAGTTAGCTTAAAAGTAAGGAAAGTAAAGAATTTTAGTATGTTTTATTTATATACTATTATTTAGATTAGTATAAATATTACTATAAATACTATAATATTTCGTAATAAGTAGCAATAGTATAGTTACTACCTATATATAAATATATATTTTAATTATTTCCTTTTTTATATAAAAGTTAAAAGACCTCTATTTTTCCTAGGTAATATATCCCTCTATAAGAAGGACTAAATAGATAAACTTCTATATAAGTAGAGCGCACTATATCTTACTAGAGAAATAATCACCTAATATTAAAAGTATATACCCTTAGGTAGAGATTAAAAAGGATATTAATTGCGCCTATTAAAATAGGGGTAGATACTTAAGGGTAGGAATAGAATTCTAGCTATATTCTAAATAGTTCTTCTATCTTACTACCTCCTTTTTACCTTTTAAGCTAAATATATCTATCTCGAGAAAGGATTAAAACTAGGTAGGTAGAGTTATCTGTCTATAAACTGCCCGGACGACTAAATATATAAGAACTTAAGGGGCAGGAGTCTCGAGATCGTCTTAGTAAAGGAGGAAGAAGTTTTAAGGGCGGCTGAGATAGGGGAGTTAGTGTCTAACGTATTAGCGTTAGCGGCGGCTTAGGGAATGCTATTAACGTTTATTATACTAGGCTTAGTCTAGGAGGCGGCGAGCTTTATTATAGAGGATAAGGAAAGCTTTACTTAGGCGAAGATAAGTATTATAGAGGTAGTAAAGTTAGTTATAGAGGCGGCGAACTTCCTAGAGATAGTGAGCTCTATAAATACAGCGAGCTTAATAGAAGGGGCGCTAGTATCTTATAAGCTAAATCAGTCGATTAATTATTCGCTTAGTCTTACTTTTACTAGGGACTAATATAATCGCTAAGCTAGTAGAGAAGCTATTAGAGCTTAATTCTAGCTATCTAGCTATAAGCTTTACTTTTACTAGCGAATAGTAAGAGTTTATATTATTTTAGATATACCTTTCTTAAGGTAAGGTATATAGTATACTAAGAACGCACCTTTAGAAATAAAGAGAAAGGAGGGAATGCTTTTTATAGTAA